CAGGCCCCGCCCTCAGCCGGCCCCCTCACAGAGGCCGCGGGATGGTGGCAAGACCATGGGCCTGCCAGGCAGCCTCCTCTCGCAGCAAGGAGGGCGGGCGCTGGCTCTGGCGACGGGCCTCACGTAGGCTTTGCTCACCTCGGCGCGGCAGGCCGGCGGGCTGGCTCGGGCCCGCCAGGCAGACAGGCGGCACGGCAGAACCGCCGCAGGCCTGGGGAGAGCTGCACCCGCTGTCCGCTCAGACCCGCCCCCTAAAACCACTCTGCCGGCCGTGCCCACCGGAGGGACGGCGGCTCCAGAGGCGGCGAGGCGCCGCCTGCCTCGGAGCGCCAAGCCACGGCGGTTTTACGTGACTTGGGCGGAGAAGGAGCCGGTGCGAGCCTGGCTCCGGGCGGTGGCACGATGCCCTGGGCACCGCCCACGGTCCCACCAGGCCTGAGAAGCGGGGCCGCTGCGTGCAGAGGGCCGCAGGCCCCCGGGGCCAAGCCCTGTGGTGCCGGCACGCAGAAGGAGGGCGCCCAGCGTGGGGAGCCGCGGCAAGGCTCTGGCCCACGGTGCGCCAGGCAGGGGCAGGCGGCCGGGGCCCAGGAGGGGCTCGGTGTGGACGCCGTGGAAACCAAGGGACACGAGGGAAGGGAAGGTCAGAGGAAGCAGCTGCGAGAACGGCACGCGGAAGCCTCGGAGCAGCCGGGCACGGCATCTCGGCCGCCACTACCAGACCCGGGCTCCCCCGCCACAGCAGCAACAGCCTCTGCGGCCTCGGCGCCATGAGGGCCCGTGCAGAGGGCCCACGCAGGCGGAGGCTCCCTGGCAGCTGTGGCAGAGGGGCAGAGAGCGCCACAGGGCAGACAAGGGGCAGACACGGGGCAGACACGGGGCGTGGGCGAGCTCAGCTGCCCGCTCTGCTGCTCCCGGAGCGGGGCAGCCCCGTGGGCCACGGCCGGGAGCGGGCAGCCGAGACCGCTCTGCTCTCAGCCACGGCTGCACGTGACACGCATACAGCCGAGGGCCCTCTGCTAGCTCAGGCGAAGAGAAGCCCAGCGCACACAAAAGCAAGCGGGATCGGACCTTAGGAGCCCAGCCAGGCCATCAGCAGACAAAAAGGAGGATGCAGGGCGCCATTAATTCCAACATACGTGCCAGAAAGATCAGGGTCAGGCTTTGCCTGACCAAAACGGAAACTTTCTACTTCAAAACGAGCTAAAAGACATGAAAAGATGATACAGACGTGAAAGATGAAAGAGAACAAACATCAGAAAACGGAAGCCTTCAGATGGGTGGCGGGGGGAGAATTACAGCTGAGTAAAGTCCGTCTCTCCGGGGCGCGCGTCTCTCCGGGGCGCGCG